CTAATGATGTAATGTATGGTGATTAACATAACAATATAAAATTTAAAAAAATCTAAATCTATTATTCAGGTGGAAAAATAGGTAATTATTTTCAAAAACTATGCCTTGCTTTTCAAAATATTTCTTTTAAAATAACTTTAAAATGTGTAATTCTATTTATATATAGTGTTTTGTAAATTTGGGGGGAAAGTAGACATACCTATATGTAAAATTTGTCAATAAATATGTTCTCCCACAAATCATGATTTCATTTTTTTGAAGAATAGCTACAAGTGTCTTACACATATTAGTATTTGTGTGTTTTCTAAGGATGTATCACAATCCTCTGTTTAGATTATAAAAGTGAAATTTTATAGCGAGTGAATATATTTAAAATTATTTAAATTTTAATATTAACATAGAAATAAAAATAATTTCATGTATGTATATTAGTATAGAGACTATATATTATTTATCTTATTTTGGATTGAATTGAAATGAAGCAGTCATCTAGAAATATTTCAACTAAAGGCTATTAATGCTCAAATTAAAAGAAAAACAAATTGATATTGATATATAGAATAAAGAGTAAAGCAATCCCAAAGACACATGACCCTTAGGAAAATTTTAAGTCTGCAGAAGCACCAATGTTGTTCCCTATCACATACCCATCTTCCATTAGGGATTCTTATCCCCACAGTTGGGAGGAAATTCAACCAACTTAAATGTGGGCACAATAGTTGGACCTTCAACTCAGGTAAAACTTTCACATGTTCTCTTGACCTCTAAATAATCTTCTCTACAAATCAATGTTTCCATATTGATTCCACCATTTGGGAGACACTGTGAGTTGTCTACCTTGTAGTAGACCCTGCTCCCCTTTTTCCTTCCTTGCTAATAATTGCTAATAATTCTTATTTTATAGTAGTAGGTGCCAAGCCCTGGGAGCAGAGTCCCAATGTTCTAAACCCATCATGGTAGACCCCTTTACTCTTTGCAATTGTTCAGGAAGTGACGACATGACCCCAATTGATGGTCAGTGAGACATATTGGGACATCTGATGAGGGTTTCTAGGAAAGTTTTTTATTCTCTAATAAGAGAAAGAGAGCTGTGAGAAGGTCTCATCCTTTTACTTATTCCCTTAAAAAGGATTGTGTCAGCCATCATGAAACGACAAGGCTATCCAGGTCTTAGAGAAAGCTTGAGGTGTTAAGGGTACAAACTTGCAGCTAGTAGTAAGTCCTAGATATCGAATGCACAGGAGAGAGAGAATATAGACAACAATGTTGTATTATAATCATCAGACTTGCTAACAGACTAGATCTTAATTGTTCCAACCACAAAAAAGAAATAATTATGAGACAGGATGAAGTGCTAACTATCACTACAATGGCACTCATATTACAGTATATAAATGTATCAAATCAACATGTGGTACAGCTTAAACTTACACAATATTATATGTCAAATATGCTTCAACTTAAACTAATAAAATAAAATAAGTGAATAAATAAAAGAATGAAGCTAGGAAGAGACTAAGGGTCCTGAGGGAGGGGCGGTCAGGCAGCCTGGTGTGGGAGATACTGAAGGGCAAAGGGGGGATGAGAATGATGGGCAGAGGGAGAAGAGACTTGGCAAAGGCCAGACTACAGACAGAGTAGGAGGGGCTAGGGATGGGATGGGTGTGGGCAGGGATTTCAAAGGTGCTAGAACCCTTTAGTCCCGATTTCCTCCGGTTCTCTTAGGCCAGACAATCCACCCATTTTTAGATAGTTGAAAGGAGTAAGTTCTGGGTAAGTCTGTAAACATGGTCCATTCAGCCAAATGGTTGTGGTGTGCTCTTTGCTAACACTCTTCTCTTCTTGCATCTAGTGGGAGGCTCTTCTGTACCCAGGCCAATTAAAAGATTTGGTAAACTTGGTGAACTGGTCATTCAGAGAAAATGAATAATGCTAAAGTGTTAAAGTGTTGACCAAACAAGAAGACTTTTAAAAAGATAAAAAGGGAAAAGAATAAACTGGGAAATTTCCATGTGAAATGCTGACATTTTTATTATATTCATAAGAATATATTTCGAAAGATGAATAGTGAGGTTCAGACATTTTCAATTGTTTATTGGCTTTTTAGATGTTTATTCATGTGAACCGCCTATTTATATACTTTGCCATTTTTCTCTTGGTTTGTTTGTCTTTTTTTATTTGTATGTGCTTATGTATTGTGGATATCAATCCTTGGCTCATAATATATATTGCAACTATTTTCTCCCATTTTACTTCTTGGCATTTAAGCCTTTAATCCATTTCAAGTTTATTTTGGTGTCTGGTATAAGACTGGAATCTAATGGGATTTTTCTGTCTAGAAGTTAGACAATTTTCACAACACTGTTTGTTGAGTAATCCATCTGGTCCCCATTAATCTGCAGTGCTTCCTTCAAAAGTCTCATTTGTGTCAGAGGCCATTTTAGGACCGTCTATTGTGTTTCAGTCAATTGCTCTGTAAATTCTTGCACACAGGTTTAATTATTACTGTGTTATTACGTACTTTTTTGTTCACACTTTTCAAAATTTCTCAGTTGTTCTTCTATTTTGACTACTATAATAGCTGCGATTTAAGATCATTTTGTCAAATTAAATTGTAAACGTTAGCGTGTAGGGAGTGTGTTGTGGCAGATGAAAGGTAAGTGATAGGGATTTTTGTACTGCATTAATCCTCGGTGCAAATGTGGACCATGCCAGGCTTTCCAGTCAGAAAAACTTTCATTGTGAACTTGGAAATCCTTCCCACCCCGTGGGTCTCCAAGCAAAACAAAGCGAGCCAACGCTATTGAGGGCTCATCCATCGTCTTTTGTTTGTCAGTCTTGTTACCAACAACCATGTGAAAAAGCCCAGGCTCTTGGTGCTCACGCCTGTGTTCTCCTCAGCTTGTTTTGCAGAATCTTCTTATATGTGTCATCCTCTTTTACACCATGTACTATGCAGTTCTGGGCATGTGCTGCATGATGCTCAAGTAAGTTGCCTTCAAGCAAAATTAAAAAGCTAAGAGTGAATATGAAAGGAGTTTATATTTGATACTTGACATGCCCTTTATGGAATAGAGGATGCAATGTTTTAAAAATGGTATATTTTCGTACCTTTTTAAAGGAAAGATAGCAAATGTGCCATCTTTGAAAATTATCAAAGCAACAATCATGAAATGATGTGGATAGATAGGACCAGACAGGACCGTTCTCTTACCTCTTCGGAAGATGGTGATGGAAAGAAAATGAAGCTCTTACTCCCTGGGCTGGTATTGAAGCAGAGCAAATTTGAATTATAAGGGAATTTAGAGATAATCTATATCAAATTTAAATATTTTCTGATATGTACTTGGAAATATCTCTTGGACCCAAGTCAGGAGACCTAACTTCTGGCCCAGGTTCTTACTAACTTTCTGGGAACATCTTAACCGAGCCATAGAGCTTCTCTTATTTGTCCTCATTTGTCAAATGGAAGTAATTGATCAAAAGAGGGTTATTATGAGGACAAAGTAAAATGTGTATTTTCAGTGATATTTCTATGTAAGTGTGAGGCATTTTTTTTCCAGGTAATTTTTTTGTCTGGCTATGGTTGAATTTTGCCTCTACAAATTTAGGTCACTGATACATTGATTGCCTTGAAATACATCATGAAGATTTACAAATAATTTCTAAGAAGTCGAGTGTTTATATAATTTAATTTTATTATGCAAGTGAGGAGTTAGGACCCTTTGATTTCAATATGCAAATTAGTAACCAAAAATAATTATCCCAACTTTTGCAATGGGAAGAATGTTATTCAGCATGCTTGCAGGCAAACCCACTGAGGAAGCATCTGCTGCTCACACACAATCTCAGCTGTTCCTGGGACTGGAGATGGTGAGGCCATGCCTGGAGCAGGGAAGAGCTAAGAATCTTCAGGGCTGATTTCAGGGATTTGTAGTTAATGTGAGTCAGAGGAGAGGAATTTTAAATTCTTGGGCCTTAAAGCTCCAGGAGGCAGCTAACTGATTGACCAGCGGCACACAACTACAAACAGGCACAGTAGAGGGTGTGTATTTATAGACTCAGATTTTACAACAGGAAGAGAGCTGAGAGATTAACCTTTTCAATTTACAGAAAAGACACTGAAGTTCAGCTCCAAATGGAACTGACTTGCCCAAATTCACAGTTTCCCAACACCATCAGGTTTGGAATCTGGGTCTGGTTTATTTCTGTGCCAATGCTCTTGCCACAGGATTAGGTTGCCTTCTCCTCCCACGTTTGATGGAAAGGACTTTCAAGATGACAGCTAAGGGCTAAAACACAATGATGAAGTCCACTTGGGGGACTTAACTGGCCAAATAAGACAATGTGGATAAAAAGATTATTTGGCTGCCATGCAAGTCAGCCAGTTTCTAGATGTGCCACAATGTGGGAAAAGCTAATGACTTACCATGTGAAAAGCGATATTCAAAGCCTTGATGTGCGAAGTTATGAACTGCCTCCCCCGGAGTAAACTATTTTCATTTGCAACATCTTCAGGGTGTATGAGTTGGATGTCCTGGCACCATTTGATTTCAAAACAAACCCCTGATGGCTCAACAAAATTATAAAGGTAATTGGTTTTAATTTCCAATTTTTGTCAATTAGCGAGTTAAATGCCTCAAAAAACAGAATAGTTTTTGTTTTATAAAAATTTACAACATATCAGGCCTTCCTCTCAGCCATCTGTATCTTATATCAGACTTCAAAAATTAATGTGGAAAAACGCCATCACAAATTTTAAAGTGGCTATTCGTGAAAGATGGGATAGGGTGGAACAGTGCAATAATTGAATAGAATTATTAGATATTATATATATGTGCTTATTTGGTGATCTTGTAGGTAAATTTTCTGCACATTAAATATTTTTCGAAGATGAGGAAGAAGACTGATTTAATATATTAATGTAGAGAAATTCTCATGGGATATGGCATGGAAAATGAAGACGACAATTGTGTTTGTGTAGTGTAATTATTCATTTTTGTAGAAGAGAGTAAAATACATGGTGTCAGTGGTAAGAAATCTGGAGAATTATGCAACAAACTGTTATCTCCCAGCTGGGATGACAGAGGACTTTCATTTTCTGCTTTGTACATTTCTGCTTAGTTTGATTTTTCTTTCCAAAAGGGGGGGAAAAAAAAAAAACATGTTCCAAAGGAAAAGTAATATGTGAGAGTATACTAAGAAAAAATTTATCTCTTTTAAATTCATAATTTTGGTTGAAAAAATAATTATTAATTAATATCTACTACATTCATAAGCCTTATGGATGTTAATAATAACAGCTACTTGTATTGAATATATGTCAAACATACTTGTTTTGGGGGGATTCATGGTGAGTTCATCTCATCTTTAGAAAAATGAGATTTTAATGTTATTTCCATGATAAAATAATACACATATAATTAATGAAAGCTTATAAAATACCTATAAGTAGGGAGGAGAAAAAGAAGAAATTCAATCACAAACTTACTTTCTAAACATAATTATTCTTAACAGTCTGTTAAATTTCTTCCTACTCTTTTTTTTTAATGAATTGTGGATTTTTTGAATGTTACAATTCTTTAGAAAACCACTGGACATGTTTTTTGGAACAAATATGCAAATATACAAAAATTGCCTCCAGCCAGAAAAAACAGATTTTTGAATATGACTTGTACAGGAAACTTGGTCAGTCAAAATTACTGAATTCAAATTAAAAAGTTTTAGAACAACCCCCTCAAATGGGTAACCTTGTTTGGTGCTATTATCGATTCAATTTTGGACAGACAAAGAATATGTTAGGAAAAAGAGACTTTCATTCTAATGAGACACAAGAGGTCCAACATTCTATCTTAACTTTCTCTTTATGTGCTTTCCTATTGAAGATAGAATTAACTTATTTTCTATCAAAACTGTCCACAATTGATAAGGAAATAGTCACAGTAAAGAATTAAGTAAGGGCTGTATGTGTGTTTTTTGGGAGGGGATTTAAAACTCGACTGTTACTATTTAATTCTTGCCTTTGGGTTAGTCAATGAAAGATAGGAACGACACAGCTTATTGGAAAGGCTGTGTTTTTACATAGCGGAGATGAGTGAAGATCCCCAGGATGCCTGGCACAGTTTATATTGTTCTCTCCTTTCACAAAACACTAACATTTGTACAAAGATATCAATGAAAACTTAGCCTATTAGATCTTTAATTTTGGGCTTGGGGAGATAACTGCCATAACTCTTCAAAGTTGTTACTTTGAGAATTTAGACTTTAATCTTGGAGATAAAGTGTAAGAGTAATCTCAGAGCCTTGGGCATGTAGTTAGGGTCAAGTTTCTTGTCTGTTTCAATGATTTTTGTCACCCAGGAGAGTAGGTTTAGCAAGGACACTGGAAAGTTTAAGTCTAGTTAAAACATTTTGATTACTAATATCTTTCTTTTGCATAGCAGAAAATAGGTTACAAATTGCTTTCATTTTAAATTAAAATCCTCCCAACAATTTCTTGAGGTAGATAAGATAGCACTCCATTTCCCAATTATAAAGAAAAAAGCAAGACTGACCCAGAGGTTAAAATTGTACTCAAGGTTTTATAACTCCTAAGCTCTAAGGCAAAACTATAACACTGGTATCCTGACTTTAAATTTTGTACTACTTCTTTTAAATCATGCTTTCTTTCATATTATAAACAAAGCATAAGCCTTTTTTATCAATATAGGCAAATACAACTTGTTCAAGACTAAAATCAATGTCTCTAAGCATCTGCAAGTTAACCTATAAAATCCGTCAATGCTGATAAAAGAGGCATCTTTTATTTCACTAGAATAATCTGGAGGCTCTGTGAGCCACTGATGGAGGTAGAGGTGGCCATGTGGTGAGAAGAGGTGGGGTCAGTGTGATACAGCAGTTCCTTCCACAGCCTCGATTTTAGGGAACAGGACATGCTGAACTGAACTTTGTTCCCATATGATAAAAAAAGGAGATGGTATGAATTCTCCCTTCAACTTTTTGAAACTGGTAAGTGAAATTAAACCAAATTGAGGAGGAGAAAGTATAAGGCCTTTCAAAAGAATGGCACTTGGGACTTGCTCACTTAGTTAGTGCCTTGCTCAGCATGAGACAATCACTGGCTTGCTGGTTAATAAATTACCTCCGCATGATATGACATAATGTGATTATTTTACATTTTGCTTTGAAAAATGGAGAGTTGTCTAGATTCACTGACTCCTGAATTTTAAGAACATACTAATCATTTGCTGAGTTTTTGTTTAAAAAGAAAAGAAAGGTAATGTTTACAGAAAGTGACATCTTTACAAAGGGACCTTGATGGTATGTCACATGTATTTGTCACATATGTTTGACGGATCTCTCCTTCGAAACCACTATAGTCTTAAAGATCCACATCAAAGACAAGAGGCAAAAGGTTGACCCTTCACACGTTCAAGGCTTTTAGAGATTTGTGGTCCTGACCTATAAGTAACTAGCTCTTTATACATGTTTGGGGAGACCACTCTGAGACAACGGGGTGGGTTTAGAAGAGTGCCTCCATCCACACAAGTCATTTATGAGACTTCCTTTCATCCATTGTTACCGGTTATGTATCCCAGATGACTATCTGAACATGCCATTTTATTATAAAGTCACAAAGGAACTCACTTCCAAGTAAGGCAATAATTGGGACCAAAGAAATATTATAAATCATTGAACCCTTACATTTCTTTTTTTCATTTCTGAAAGCTCAGAACTGAATTTTTCATTAGTTTTTAATTTATCTTAAACGGAGAGTTGCAATCCAATTACAGAGCAGCATGTATTGGTTACATGGTAACTTTTCTTTATTGTATTTTACCTTTAAAGTGATAAGTACAAAGAATGTGAAACAAATTATATACTGTTATTAGAGACAGAATATGTTAAAGAGTTCTCATCCAAATTTGGGAATTGTTAAGAGATGGGATATTTTGAAAATTCTTACCAAAATTTCTTCGCAGAGTAATTTGTAATAGTCCTGTTACTAATTGTGTTTCAAAATTGTTAGTTTCTCTAGTTCCAAATAATTAAATTCTTCATTCTATTTGCAGTTCTTCTAGTCTCAACACAGGTCACCTACTTTGTTTGCGGATTGCTTTTCGTTCTGGTTGTAGAAGAATGGGTCTGGGATTATGCTATTTCAGTCACTATTCTTCATGTTGTCATCACTTCCACTGGGAAGCAAAATAAAATAAAGGAAACAAAGAAAATATATTAAATCTGAGTTTGTACCTAAATTGCTTCACAAGAGTAAAACTTTGTTATATGCATATTGTCCTCTGATGGCTTAAGCATAAAAACTGATGATGCTAGTTCTCCTTCCCTCCCCTCACTTCTCCTCGCCCACTAAGTTCTTCTACCACTTCCTGGGAGAGGTTTTTGATTGGCTACATCTTCCTATTCAAAACTGTACTGAATGTAGATGTTTTCTAATCTCCTGTCATGTTCAACTTGTCATCAGCTTGTAAAGGGTTTGCCTCCATTCAGAATACTCTTCTTCCAAAACCGTTTCTTGAGGTGGAAATTGACCAAAGGCTGGGAACAGGGCCCTGAGGAAACCCATCCTGGCCGGCTTGTAAACTTCCCCATAATAGTTATTCTACCAAGAATACCACATTCTTAAACTAAGGGGTTCTGTTTCTACCTGTGATCTTTGGAGTCAAAAGAAAATGGATTCAAATTCCAGTTCTACCTTTTTATGAGGTGTGTAGTCTTAAGGGAAGTCACAACATCATACACATTAGTTGCCTCCTCTATGGAGCAGGGAGACCTAGGGACCTTTTGATGAGAATAAGAAATTGTCTGACACAGTGGCTAAGCATATAATAATTACTCAGTAAATGACAGTTTCATCTGTTGCTTCATTCATCCATTCAAAGTTTACTCTTCTATTATAACTTTTCTCCCTTCCCATCTTCCATTATTAAAAAAAAATACTAGTCAAAGAATGGGTGGGAATCAACCACAAGTTATAATACAAAGTTATTATTATTTATTAGCAACTTGCTCATTTTTTTCAGTGCTGTGATCTACTAATGGCTTTGTCAGTCTCCAATTTAAGAATACACAATTTCCAAATGAATTGTTACATCCTAGCGTCACTGTTATTAGAGAATGCTAGTATATCAATCTCCTTGTCCCCAGACACATGCCCTCCCTTAGTAACTTTCAGAACCACTAAACCCCATATCTCAAATTCTCAATTTTACTTTGGGGCTAAGTTGACATGGAAGACAGCCATGGGATAATTGCAAAAGGGCTCTGGGGCATAGGGTGGCTGAATCTTCAAGGTTGAAATAAGCAATATGTACCAGACCCAGAAAAGTTACAAGGTAATGGTCTAACACATGGCACATAGAAAATACTTAAGAAAATACTTTACATTGAATAGAATTGAGTTCAGGGTGCAGTGGCTCAGAACTCCAGAGAAAGTCAGGTATCAAGGATTTGGGATGGCCTTAGGACCGTCTCCGTTACATAACACTCAAATCAATTCTGTGTGCTGACCCAGGAACCTGACAGTTCATAACATCTTTTTTTTTTTTTTAAAGATTTTATTTATTTATTTGAGAGAGAGAATGAGAGAGAGAGAGCACATGAGGGGGGGTCAGAGGGAGAAGCAGACTCCCCACTGAGCAGGGAGCCCAATGCGGGACTCAATCCCGGGACTCCAGGATCATGACCTGAGCCGAAGGCAGTCGCTTAACCAACTGAGCCACCCAGGCGCCCCAGAACATCTTTTCTAGAAGAGGAGTTTCAGGTATCTGACTTAATAAATGACTTTGTAAACTATGATCTAAGTACAGCTTTGGGGCTACCTGATTTCATGAATGTGAATAAAATTTCTCTTTGTCATGTGGACATGATCTGACTAAACAGAAGTATTTCTTCATGTGGAAAAAATAATGCATATTTTTAAAATGAACAACACCGCTTTTTTTTTTCTTTTTCAGTTATGTTGGAATTCCCCTTGACATCACATTGGTGGGCTGCTTTAGGTATATATGCATGATACCCAAATATATTATAACATATGTGTATGTATTATGTTCAACATAAATACTTATATATAAAGTGGGGGCATCAAATGACCCCATTTTATGTGGGTCAGGTAATTGGACTAGAAGACTGCTCAAAGTGTTCATCATTCTAAAATTGCATGGAATAAAACACTAGATATATATTTGTGACATATTCTTTTGGTTCTCTTTCAACATGAATGGCATTACTATTTTTATAGTAGCACTATTTCATTTCATTTACTTTTTTCTTCCCACAAATGGAACAACTGAATTCATCAATTTTTCATCTAGTAAGAAAACTAACCCAGTTAAGGTGGACTTTTCTAAAGCTTCTTCTTTAGCTTAAGCTAGGTATTGACTACAAATATTTTTACATTTCCCCTTTTCAGTAATTTGGCAATAATTTTTATTTAAGTATTGTCATGCTTAATGATGAGAAATGGAAATGCAGCATTTCACCATATTGTTTTCCCCAAAGCCAAATTATCTGTTTATAGTATCAGTATTATTTATATTACCATTAGCTTCCTTTATTACAGGTTAATTTTCCACTTCCCTTACATATCCGTAAGTCTTAGTGTGTACTCTTTTCTAATATTGTTTGGTTCATACAGAAAACACATGCAGAAAGTACTGATATTTTATTTTGAATGACGCTTTTCAAAAATGCACATTTTTAATGAATCAGAAAGAAGATACCTGAAAGACGAGCTATCAGTATAAGTAGAAATGATCTTTTCTCTCTATGAAAAACAACAACTTATCCCTTGGATTTTCTTCACAATACCACAAAATTTACTAAGCCCTAGGCAATTCAGTCACATAGCCCATGCCACCTCAATGACAAGGAGAGTCAGGGTTGGCATACTGGAATGGCCAAAAGAATTTGCTAAAATAGTTGGGTCACTATTTCAATTTTAAGACCTAGGGTTGGATTACGCAGAGAACGGTTGCCAAATGATGTTTGAGGTAACCTTCTTTGATTTTTCTTTGAGTTAAAAAATTTAGATACAAAATAATAGTGGCTCAACATCTTGGAAATTCTATCTCATGGTTTCGCACTAGTTGTGCGTCTTTGTGTGAAGAAGTTGTGCGGTCCTGCCAAGCTTCTGATCCACTAAGGGTTCTTACTTCAGGGACTTTTACCTTTCATGGGAGTTATACTGTTATTGCCATACAAGGAATAACAGATTTATGAAAGCCCTGTTAGGCTAGATTAACATTTTAAAACAAACAAGAATCTTGGGCCAATGAAAGAGCTAAAGGCATTTTCATATAACCAAATAGCTCAGGTAGGTAGACTTCTGTTTTCAAAATCTTTTCTACACTAAAAAATATTTTCCAAGTTAGAGGAGAGCATATCTTCCTTTTATAATTAGAGAGAAAATACCTTATAAAATATTTTTAAATAGCAACAACACAAAACAAATGGCAGGTCTGAAGAGCTAAAAGAATTGAGAATTGTAAAATCCTTGGCATGTGCTTTGACTCCATTGCCTTTGAATTTCTGAGTTTTAAGAGCTCCTTAGTATTAATTTGACAGAACCATGTATCTATTCCCTGAAGGAAGTTTTGAATTTCAACAATTTATCAGCACAGAATATATACCTACTGTCTCTTAGCTGAATCTATAAACTATCCTATTTCAAATGCTGTGTCAGTTTCAGGAACATTATTTTAGTCATGACAATTGTTCTTATTCATAATCTCACCAATGAATTATTCATTATTGGTAGTTAACCAAAACTTCCCTTTCATTACTTGCAGGATCCGGCTTAATTTCAGTGATATGTGGAGGCCAGGCTTTCGCATACTGTTTGTTCAAAGACAACTTTATCTATCCAGATCTGGATGAGTTTTAACAGAACAGCTGAATTAATTTGCCTCAGCCTTTCTATATTATTATATACATTGTGTTGCAGCTAAATTGTATTTTTTTGTTCACACCCATATTCAAGGTTGAATTTATTCTAGATACTTTATAACCATAAAAAGAAAAAGAGATGCTAGTGGAGAGCAGAAGGATCCTAGGAAGGTATTCATGAGCAAAATGTTGCCAACTCATAAAATGCATTGTTTACCAAAGTGTATTCCATAGAACACTAGTTCCGTAGTACGTGAGTAGAACCACCCAAGGAAAAAAGTTGCATGTTTAAGTACATTTGTGGATTCCTGGGTTTATGTAAAACAGACATTTATTTTAGGACTTCTCAAAACCTTTAACATACTGTTGCGAACAGGGCATCTCAAAGCAGTAGTATAGATTATGCACCATTTCACAGCTGTATTTGACCCAGGGACACACTTTAGAATATGCTGATGTATCATGTGGAAAGTGTAACATAGGTGAGAGCGGAGTTAAAACTATTACAAATCTCTATAAGCAGAATTAGATTCTATTACTCTCCCATAGTGTTGTTTCTTGTAAAATTATTGCCTTTTAAAAAATATTAGTGTCTATTTCCTTCCTTAGACTATGTTTTTCTAACATAGTGCTTCTCAAAATTTAGTATGCATTCGAATCACCTGGAAAATTTGTTACAAGACAGATTTTGGTTTAGAGGGGCTGGGATGAAGCCAAAGATTCTGTATATCTTTTTTTTTTTTTTTTTTGAGATTTATTTATTTATTTTAGAAAGAGAGAGAGAGCGCACAGGGCGAGGGGCAGAGGAAAAGGGAGAGAATTCTCAAGCCAACTCCTCACTAAGCATGGAGCCCAGTGTGGGGCTGAATCCCAGGATGCTGAGATCATGACCTGAGCCAAAACCAAGAGCGGGGCGTGTAACTGACTGAGCCACCCAGGTGCCCCTAAAATTCTGTATATCTAAAAATTCCTGGAAAATACCTGTCTGGTCCATGAAGCACAGTTTGAGTAACAAGCCTAAGTGATTGGGACCAGTTATTTTTTAAGGTTATATAGCTCTGTACTGCCAGTCCTATGTTTATTCAATAAATGTTTGTTGAATTAGATTAAAACTGGGGCGAGTTACACCTCCATAATTGTCTTAAATATTTACCACTTTTAAATGTAGTTAAAATACCTTTTGATATAAAAGAAGTGCATACCATGGTTACAACTAAAATATAAATATAGGAAAAAGGATAGGAAAGTAACATACACCACTTCCCCTCCATCCATATATTCCCACACACAAACATTTTTGGGAAACAATTAGAAACTAAATTAAACCAGCTCTGGAATTTTTTCCTAGATGACTCTTTTTACTCTAAAAATCTATTTCTTTTGGGGTGCCTGGCTGGCTCATTCGGTGGAGCATGTGACTCTTGATCTTGGGGTTGTGGGTTCGAGCCCCATGTTGGGTGTAGGAATTACTTAAAAATAAAATCTTAAAAAAAATCTATGTTTTCCATAAAGATTTGCATCCAATCACTAAGAAATGTTATGCTAATTATATGTATTTCAGGTAACCTTCCAAAAACTACTTTGTGTTGACCAGTTACTAGTTAGATAATTCAAACTTCTCATGCACATGTAAGTTTGAAAATAATGATACTTTCTTCCTTGCTTCTTTCTCACATGTACTTATTTCCACAAACTTTTGTCTTCCACCCATTATTCTCAATTTTCCCATTACTTTCCTCCAAAATATTTAGTCATGGAAGTAGCAAAATATATAACTCATCTAAATCACTCAAAGGATTGTAAATTCCTATTATTAATAAAGACTTTTAAGCATAAGGCCTAAAGCATAGGATAGCTATGAACAGGTCAGCACTATGATCTTTGATTCTCCAATTAAAATCCCACTGATGGCATACAGAAACGAGTGTCTTGCTAGATATATAACAAAACTCAATCCTGCTGTATGAAAAATACAAATGTCAAACAAATCACTGATGAGAAAGTCTGACCCTATAGAAACTTACACATGGAAGAGATTTACAGAAACATTAAAACTGCCTAAATAAATTTGATAATTAAAAAAAGATTTGGTTGATTAAGTACTTTTTAATATACTGAGAATTAAGTTACACTAGTAAATTAGAATAACAATTTCTCCAGACTCAGAAGACCATAATATCTTGTCATTCTGTAGTGTAGCTTAATTAGCATATTTATTTCTAGGATTAGGAATCCATCTGCTCATGTAATTACTATTGTGTGAATCCTTCTCTTTATTTTTGTTTCTCCTGATCACAAGAATAATCTGTGATTTTCTTCTCTTACTCATTAAAATGATTATCATTATCTATTTGATGACACCACTTGACACACAAAAATTAAAAATACAATTAGAGTACATATTTTAGCTTAAATATATTGTAAATCAGACATAGCAAATAATAATCACTTTAGCTTTTATTGCTTTGAACTGTATATTAACTCAAAGACCAAGAGTCATGCCCACTTAACATACTTTTCCAGTGTGCCTCACAGAATCATAAGAAGATGAAATGCTACCCAGTATTTTGATGCCTATTTTTGAGGCAGGACTGAATTTACTTACATATTTTTTTAAAAGGTAATACTTTTATGTCATGCATAACCTTCCATTAATATCCTTTGCAGTTACTATACCATTGTGGTATAATGTAGATCAATTTGCATATTCCTTTAATAATGTTATTATTTCCCATATGAATGAACAATATCTTTACCTTTGCTGACAATGATCCCAAAATATGTATATAAGGACTATTTTCATAGCTCTAGTGTAAAGATTAGACTTCTATCTCCATTTTAATGGGCTTTGTTAAGCCAATGTACCCCAGTAGCTGAATTGATAATTTCAAAAGCTGTTTGCTACCACTCTAAAGCAGTAGGGATTATTCTATAGACACGCAAACAGGGGCACCTGGGTGGCTCAAGTTGGTTAAATATCTGACTCTTGATTTCAGCTCAGGTTCATGAGTTCAGGGTCATGATCTCAAGGTCATGAGATTGAGCTCCATGTCAGGCTCTGCGCTGACCATGGAGCCTGCTTAAAATTATCTCTCCCCGAACCATTAGAGACGATGGACTCTGAAAAACAAACTGAGGGTTCTAGAGGGGAGGGGGGTGGGGGGATGGGTTAGCCTGGTGATGGGTATTAAA